GTTTTGTCTTTGCCTGGAGTTCTCCTTTAATAACAGAGTTATTTGTAATAGAGAATGTGCTTAAAATAAGGCCAAAATGATCCATTTTCATAGCAAATACTTTTCTTCTTTAACAAAGTCAAGTTCTGACAAACAGTGAAAAGTTCTCAGATATTGATCAGGCCTGTCTGCTACTCGTTAATCTGCTTATCAGATCCTTACTTCTGCTTTCCTCTGCTTATCGCCTGATGTCTGTCCTTTATGATGATATTTTTAATGATAACAAATGTAGAGCGGGTCGTGTCAGAGTAGATGAGTTCTATGTGCTAGCTCTAGAAAATACATGATAAAGATGTCTTCTGTCTCCTTCTGATATCTACAGCCAAATCAGATGACAGGTCCCCTTTAAATGTCTCCTTATTGATGTTGTATTTTTAGGGGTGTGATGTCTCCACATATCTTGGACTTTGTGATAGCAATAAAATAACAAATAACTGTATTAATAATAAACAACCAGTGATAATAAGACTCCGCCATTAAAGTAGACCTTTTACCCCTTTCACTAAAAATCTCTGCATGCCAATATGAAATCATTTTACCTTCATTAGTTAAACAAACACATTTTTCTTTTACTTACAATTATTGTTTTTCCACTTCCTGGTCCTCATGGGCATTAGTGATGCAATGTGCACAAATGATGCATCCTGGGAAGGCTACATCAGCAGAGCATTGCTGGGAAATCTCCTCTGTAACCTCATGAGATCTCAGGGAAAGGCATTGCAAGCAGCATAATGGTAGGAGGGTGGAGACTTTACCGATCCTGTCCAAGGTGAACTGCTGGAGAGATATTGCAGAGGGAAAGTTCTGATTGGCGACAGTTTTTGCCCTCAGTTCTACCTTAATGCCCATAGCAGACTAGCAGGCCTGTCACTACTGGGGAAAGCGGTAACAGGGGCGTCCCGAGGCTGGGTGACACCCGGAGCGGTAACCGAGTGTCACCCCGCCGAGACGTCATCGCGCACGCGCTGCGGTATTCTGATTTTCTGGTATTCCGGCGGCCATCTTGGTGATGGACGCCGGCAGAGAGAGGAGTTGACAGTCACCCGGCGGGATAAGGTATGCCGCCGGGTCCCCTCCTCTCTCCTGATACTGTCGGGCATTCGGTCCATGACCGAGCGCCCGACTTTTCAGAGGGGGGTGAAACCAAAATGACTAAGTCATTTTGGTGTCACCCCTCCAATGGTGGCACCCGGGTGCGGGCCGCACCCCCCTTGTGACGCCACTGGGCGGTAAATCACCAGGAGAGCAAAGGAAAATACTCACAAAGGGAGATAAATAACAGACATAAACAGATCAGGTGAAAGCAGACTTAGCCAGCCGGCTATCTGTCCTTCTTGTTTGACGCGTTTCCGAGGTCACACCTCCATCAGAACAAAGCTTGACCTCGGAAACGCGTCAACCAAGAAGGTTCTGATGAAGGAGGCGTGACCTTGGAAACACGTCAACCAAGAAGGACAGATAGCCGGCTGGCTAAGTCTGTTTTCACCTGATCTGTTTATGCCTGTTATTTATCTCCCTTTGTGAGTATATTTTCAACTGTTATTCTCTTTTATTAAACAGTTTTACACGATGGAGGTGCTCTCTGTGTTTTGTATTTCAGTATTGTGGAATTCTGCATAAGTGGTCTTGTGGAATGAATTCTAATGTTTCGGACAAATGTGGGTCCTGGGGTTACACAGGTTGAGAACCCCTGCCCTAGACAAAATGAGCATTTAACCCTTGCAGTGGCGGGGTAGCCCCACCGCAAGCTGCATTCGTTTGTGTCTTGTCTGACTATCGTTCCGCTTTAATGACAAACCAACAATGTCACGGTATAAGGCTGGCAGTCTCCCTTTTACTCTTCGCTACAATGAATCGATTTTGTTCCCGTTGCATTGCAGCACTTGCAGGAGATTATTGAGAAGTTTTGCTTTTCAGGGTATTCTGCATTCCTATCAGCCTCCTGCCGAGCTAAAAAATCAATTACATGACAATTCAGCCTCACCATAAGATATTCTTCTCTCTCTCTCTCTCTCTCTTTTTTTTAAACAAATTAAAATGTAATAGATAGCATCTGATTCCTGGGCAGCGGAGAGCAAGGCAGAAGTGCGCCTTTTACTGATAATTCTTATCTATGTGAGAATGCTGGTAGAATTTAAAGATGGGGTATGAAGGAGGATTCGGAGTTTACCATAAATTGAGCACAATGAAGAAATGTCAGGGAGATGGATAGTCATCACTTTAATACGATTGCTCTGTAATAAGAGGGAAGGTTTGCACACAGAATACTCGAGTTAGTGATGGAGTTTAAACAAGTGCCGAACACATTTTCATTTGTCCAAGTAGATTTCGTAGTGCCAATGCGTTTCGAGGCTCTTGGCTTTACAGATAGCAATGACGCAGCTACTAGGGTCATCAGCGGGAACTGGAAGCAGAAAATAATGTGAGTGCTTACAGGACTCTTCTTATGATACCCACACATATAATAATGTGAGTGCTTACAGGCAGGTGCGTCCCGAGGCTGGGTGACACCCGGAGCGGTTACCGGGTGTCACCCCGCCGAGACGTCACCACGCGCATGGGCGATGACGTCATCGCGTACGCGCGTCGCTCTTCTGATTCCTGCCGGCGGCCATCTTGGTGATGGGCGCCGGCAGAGAGAGGAGGGGGCAGTCACTCGGCGGGATAACGTATGCTGCCGTGTCCCCTTCTCTCTCCTGATACTGTCCATGACCGAGCGCCCGACTTTTCAGAGTGGGGTGACACCAAAATGACTGTCAGTCATTTTGGTGTCACCCCTCCAATGGTGTCACCCGGGTGCAGGCCGCACCCCCCTTGTGAGGCCCCTGCTTACAGGTCTCTTCTTATGACACCCACACATCTAATCTGATTTTTTTTCTTAGAGTTTGTTTTATATAATGTCACATTCAGACATGATGGGTCATAACTGGAGAAATATAACGTGGCTGCCTGTAAGCAAAATCTGCTTCACTTTTTTAATATTGTGGTTTACAATAAGAAAATCTTACCTTGGGCATACACCCTGTCCTCCTTGGAATAACCCACACAAACACATTTTTTTAAATTTTTTAGTATACATACCATTATTGGAGCCGTCCTCAGTCCAGTCTCCTGCCCTCACTTCGAAAACCTAATGTTGGGCACACACCCCATTTCCATTGGAGTACCGCCCACCCCAATCTTCTTCTTATTTTTAGTATACATACCATTGTTGGAGCTGTCCTCAGTCCAGTCTCCTATCCTCACTCCGAAAACCTAAAGTTGGGCAGATAACCCATCCCCCTGGGAGTACCCAGCCCCCTCTCCTTTTTTTAATTTTTTTATTATGCATACCATTATTGAAGCTGGCCTCAGTCCAGTCTTATGTCCTCAGTTTTAAAACCTAAAGTTGGGCAGATACCCCATCCCCTGGAAGTACCCATCCGCTTCACTTTTTTAAATTTTTAGTATACATACCGTTCTTGGCGCTGTCTTCACTCCAGTCACAAGTTCTCACTCCAAAAACCTAAAGATGGGCAGATACCCCATCCCACCCCACCCCACCCCATCCCACTCATTTTCTTCTTGTTAGTATACATACCATTGTTGGAGCTATCCACAGCATCAGATATCCTCACTCAGAAAACCTAAAGTTGTCCAGGCACCCTATTTCCCTGGAGTACCCCCCACCCCACCCTTTTTCTTATTTTTAGTACACATACCATTATTGGAGCTCTCTTCAGTCCAGTCACGTGTCCTCACTCCGAAAACCTAAAGTAGGACACACACCCTACCCCTGTTGGAGTACCCATATCCCCACCTCCGCATTTTTTTTCTTTACATTTTTTGCATACACACCATTATTGTAGCTGTATTCAGTCCAGTCACATGTTCTCATTTTCAAAAACCTAAAATTGGGCAGTCACCCCATTCCCCTTGGAGTAACCCCAAAACTCACAGGGTTATTCATAAAAGGGTGAAGGGTTTGGATAAGACAGGAGAAGACACTCTTCACCCTTTTGTGAATAACCCTGTTAAAGTTGGTCAGACACCCCATCCCTCTTGGAGTACCCTCCCATACATCCGTTTATGTTCAGTATACACACCATTATTGGAGCTGTCTTCAGTCCAGTCACATCGAGTCCTCTTACTTTTCTTCCCATGGCGGTGGTGGAAGGGTCCTCTATAACGCAGAGAATGGCGCCATATTATAACGTGGGTGCTTTTCTCTGCATCAGTCTCCTGGAAGTCAAGGGCAACTTAATGACACACCCTCAGGGGGCATGTGGAATGATACTGTCCACTATCAAACCCTGAAGAGGACTGGTGTCCAGATCCAGAGAAAAACT